CTGTAGGGAGGCTACTGATGAAGTTAGCAGGTTGCAAAAAGATCATGTTGGGAAAGGAGTTGAAACAGAAGCTGTCTGGGTGGCACTGGGTGCTAACTTCATCAGTAGCCTCCCTACAGCATGTTGCTATACAACGTCTTGCCATGCATTCCCTTCCTCTTCTTGGCACCCTGTGGTGCTAGGATGGAATTAAACCTTACTGTACTATGTGTTTTAGGCATCACCCTGAAATACTTTTCCTCCTTTTGCCTCCCGCAGCATACTGCTTTGGAAGAGAAGTCCTCCAGCTTTTGGTCATCCTCCAAGAGAAATCTTGTGAGTTCCAGAGTTTTCTGCTTGCAAGCAGTCCATGCTTAGCTTTCTGTCTCTTTGATAGCTATCAAAACACATCATGCATATCTCAAGTCTAGATTTCACCATCCATAAATGAAATGGCTACTTCTGTCCTTGGAAGCTTTCTGAGATCTGCAAATCTACTGTAGTTAATTTCCTTAGTTTAAAAAAATAAGGATGGAGTTTTCATTTATGATGGATTATGAAAGAACTACAAAAATTAGGGGAAGAATGGCTGAAATTCTGTAGTAAGTCGCAGCTCCTCAGTAAGTTGCATTAGTGCAATGGGCCTACTCTAGCTGCAGCTTACTAACAGCTCCTCAGTAAGTTGCATTAGCTGCAGCTTACTACAGAATTTAATCTCTGTGTCCCTGAAAAATTAACCAAATAAATTACACTAAGGTTTCATGTAGAAGTACATATGTGCTTCGTATGGATCAACCTCTAGTTAATAACTGAGCTATAACTTAGATATCCTAGTCATACGCACTGAAAGATACCTGAGAATATTACAACTAGTCAAAGCGTAGTTTAGTAGTTTAACCATTGGTGTGAATCCTGTGCCTCCTGCCAATAAAAACAGTTCTTCTACATCTTCAACTTGCAACTTCATGAAGTTACCTTCAGGATTACTCACAGAAATATACTCCCCTGCAGAGGAATCAAACAGCAAAAAGAATTTTAGATACAAGTGTGTTAAGCTCCTAACATCAAATTAATCTAAGTCTGTGTTAATTCACATTCATAAAAGTACAATGAGTATAAACCAGTATTTTTAGGAAAAGACTGAACAGCCAGATTTCTACCAAATTATGCTATAATGCCAACTACCCTGTTTCCTCTAAAATAAGACCTAACCTGAAAATAAGCCATAGTATGAATTTTCAGGATCCTCGTAATATAAGTCCTACTAAAAAAAAAACCCACCTTAGTTAAGTGAAACCCCACCCTCCACCATTGTGCAGCAACCAGAAGATGACAAGACTATATTTGAATAAATGTAGATGGTTGTACATGACAAAAATAAAACATCCCCTGAAAAGAAGCCCCAATGTGTTTTTTGGCACTAAAATTAAGAACCTGTCTTATTTTTGGGGAAACAGGTTAGGTCATGGCTTTAAAATATTATAATAACGTATTTTGAAAACATTATAAATAAATGTTCAAAAGATATTTTATAACATATTGGGTTAGGTCATGGCTTTGAAATATTATAATAAAGTGTTCAAAAGATATTTTATAACATATTGGGTGAAATCCTGTTGCTTAGAATAGAACACCAAACTGGAGCAGGCCATTGAATTCAGGGGAATTTAATGAGTCAACTCCATGATTTCCACTGATTCAAATGGGCCTACTCTAGTTGCAGTTTGCTATGTGAAAGTAAGTTGCAAGTAGAGTAGGCCAATTTGATGCAGTTTATTATGTGAAAGTAAGTTGCGAGTAGGCCAATTTGAATCAAAGTAACTTATGGAGGAGTTAATTCACCAAATCCCCACTGGTTCAATAGACTTACTCTAGTGCAACTGACTATGCTAAACAACAGGATTTCAGCCATTACATATTATCATATATAGTCTTACGATACACAGACAGGGAAAAGAAGCACATACCTATTTGCATTATGTGAAAGTAAGTTGCGAGTAGGCCAATTTGAATCAAAGTAACTTATGGAGGAGTTAATTCACCAAATCCCCACTGGTTCAATAGACTTACTCTAGTGCAACTGACTATGCTAAACAACAGGATTTCAGCCATTACATATTATCATATATAGTCTTACGATACACAGACAGGGAAAAGAAGCACATACCTATTTGCAAAGTGTCAAGTACTGGTGTGAACAGCCCACTAGGGTAAATTTTGATCATGAAAAATATATGCATCTTATCATTTTGAGGAGGATTCTTGCCCATTGATTCAAAGGAAGACAGCACTGGTGTATAGGGCTTCACTATCTCTGTACCTAAATAAAAGAAGTAAATAAACAGTGAAAATTTGTTAATAAAACTCATAGGAAATTAACAGAACACAAAAAGCAGTTCTGGTGTAACCACAGTCAAAACATCTGTCAAAAGTAAGGATAGTAACTTCCTATTAAGTAAGTCAATTACTGTGGACAAATAGCCCTTTTCTTTCTCCTTACTAAAACCCTTAAGAGCCTACATATAAAATTATATGTGAATAAAATGTCTAAAGTAAAGGTGGCCACCTCTTTTAAATCTTACAGCGATTTCCAGAAAAAAGTATTTCTTTTATCTATAACCTTTCCCTCTTTTGCCCAGTTAAAATATGGCTAAGTCTCTGCTCACTTGACAGTCTATTTGTACAGTCACCCTATGGGGGAAAATCGCTTTGTGACTTTTCCCCATAGGCCCCTGGCGGGCGCTTCGAAGCAACTACAGGGAGGGCTCCCCTGCCATCGTTCCGAAGCGCTTCGGCCAGCCGGCACTTCGCAACAACAGCGGGGGAGCCCTCCCCCGCGGCCGCTCCGAAGCACCAGCCAGCATTTTCGCGGCGAGCGCTTTGGAACAACGGGGGGGGGAACCCGACAGCACTGGTGTATAGGGCTTCACTATCTCTGTACCTAAATAAAGGAAGTAAATAAACAGTGAAAATTTGTTAATAAAACTCGTAAGAAATTAACAGAACACAAAAAACAGTTCTGGTGTAACCACAGTCAAAACATCTGTCAAAAGCAACGATAGTAACTTCCTATTAAGTATGTCAATTACTGTGGACAAATAGCCCCTTTTCTTTCTCCTTACTAAAACCCTTAAGAGCCTACATATAAAATTATATGTGAATAAAATGTCTAAAGTAAAGGTGGCCACCTCTTTTAAATCTTACAGCGATTTCCAGAAAAAAGTATTTCTTTTATCTATCACCTTTCCCTCTTTTGCCGAGTTAAAATATGGCTATGTCTCTGCTCACTTGACAGTCTATTTGTACAGTCTATTAGGGAGGGGGAAAGCAGCAAGATGTCTATCTTGTAGGGCAGCCAGCAGCCCCCAAAAAACTGCAGAGGGAGGCAACGTATATGGGAAGGGGGAGGTCAGGAGAAGACAGATCTAGAAAGGAAGACCCCTTTCTGCTCCATTCCTTGGCTTTAAAAGGAAGAACCACACATGGCAATGCCCTCTGCCAACAAAGATTTGTTGGCCAGTCTTTGTTGGGTGTTTTTGATTGCTGGATGCCAAAGATGGGTGTTAATGACTGGTTGACAGGGCCAGAAAGGAATTTCAGTCATTGGTGTGAATGTGCCTGTGCTACTGGTATTTGTTGCCACCGACACAACAACCAGTGGCCAGAATCTTATTGGTTAGATAGGCTTAAATTTTGAAAAGAATAATGTCTATGAAAGAGACAGACATGTGTCTGTCTTTGATACAGAATACTCTAAATTGGTCCACCAATTTGTAGAACATTTAATAACAATTTTAACTGTTTTAAAACTGAGCTGAGTAAGTTCTAGAAGTAACAGTTTTTTTTCTGTACAGTACCTGCAATTGTTTGTCTGAGGTAAAGGTGATGTCCCACAGGGACCTGGAGATGAGTTCCTGGTGGTAACATTAAACAGAACAGTCTAGTATCATGAGTGACATCTGTCTTTGATAGCAACCTGCATCTCCTGTAGTACAGACCTTAGAGAAACATAATGTTAATTAATTACATTGAAATTACATCAAATATTCATATTTTGAAAAAATATATAATAATCAACAGGATCCATTTCTATTCTGTTTGCAGCACAAATTCTTCCATGAACAGCACTCTCTCTCTGTGAATGGAATGAAAACAGTGGATCAAAACTGACAACTGAGTAAAAAAAAGCCACAGACACGCACTTTAATCACTTGCAAGCTACATCATACCAGCACCTTATTCTTCTGCACTATTTGTTTTTTAAAATATCCTATAAAAATAGCAACTGTAATCATTCTATTTTTTTATTGTAAAAAAAGATACTGATTATGGTCTGAACATTAGTGTAAAATACAGTTATCCCACAACTGAAGGTGACAGATTTATTCTTGAGTCTTTGTATTTTTGAAAAAGAATAAGATGGTCTGAAGCAAACATAAAAGTGGTAGACTGCAAGAAAGATAAAGCCTGCAAGTAAAAAACAAATGACAGAGGTGGATTTCACCTAGTGTCTCCCCAATGATGGGAGGCATTTATGTATTGAACAAGGAAGGGGGTGTTTTTCACTTATTCCTCCAGTTCCCTACATATCCTGCACCCCAGATCTGCTCTGGAAGCTTGAGGGATTGAGCAGAAGGTGAGGCATGTGGAAATTAACAAAATTAATTACCTCTGTCTGACCGTTTTACAAAAGAGTCATGACTCTCCAGTGGTTGCCCAAGATTTTTCCAAGATGCAACTTCTTTCTTCTTTAGGATAAATTCCACTTTTCCCACTTTTTCAGAAACCTGTACTAAAAATACACATAGTATTGTTCTATACAAATATATGCACAATAGCCTAAAAGCCCACACTGCAGCACAGTATGATAGAACTCTCCCCACACCGTCCCCTTGTAGCCCCTGGTGCAGCCACTTAAAACATATAGCTCAAGAGGTTTTTCCAGCGATTCAGAGCAGAATTTTGGATTAAAACGAGGCAGCAGTGAGATGGGACACCACCCTTTCCTGATTTTACTGATGTTAACTGATTGTATGCCCCATCAGACCATGGCCAAAATTTTCACACTGCCCCACCATACATTCAACTGGTCAACCTCTACTCAGCTTATGAATCCCATCAACATGGACTATCTGCTATCATTAAAAAACAAAACAAAACCCTGAAATCCTGCTCAGCTGAGTCCACCTGCACAACAGGGATAATGATATCAGCAGTGACAGATAGCTGCAGATTAAACACTTCTTTTGTCTTTTCATGATGCACACAGCTTTACTTTGTGGTGTACCAGCTATGCACACCCTGAGACTGCAAAAGGTAGTCCTTAATGAGCTGCAGTCTACCGAAGACTTATAAGCTCTTGGGGCATGGCTTTGAAAATTGCATGATGTAGCCACAGTGCTGAAACTAAGTAGGTGTAGGCTTGTCCCTGTAAACCACAGCTACGTCCCCTGGAATACCATGGGAGAAGACAGATGGGATATAAATCTTGTAAACGGCTTTGGGATTTTTAAAATAAAGAGCAGCATAAACTGTTTTAACAGATGCATGCAATACTGAAGTTAAAACATGGGAACCAATTAGCTCGGGAGTTGGTGAGTGTTCCAGCACTGGAGGGCATTCAAGAGAAACTTAGACAACCACCTGGCAGATGTCCTTTCATTTGTATTCCTACACTGAGCAGAAGTTGGACTCGATGGCCTTATAGGCCCCCTTCCAACTTCACTATTCTATGATTCTATGAAAGACTCCAATTGATATCATGTTAAACTCTTTCTAGTATTTACCCCATTCAGAGCTGCATATCAAACCAGACATTTCTGTAAATACAGGGCAGCATAAAACAACGTAATATATGTAAAAGACATATAATACACAATGGCCAGAAACCAAAAGAACTATGGAACCTCTTAATGAGGTTTTTTTCATGCCAATCATTTGTCATCAGATAGAATATCTGCATAAGTGGGGTGTCAACATTAATTTTTGATATGGTTTATGGTTTAGAGTTTAAGAAAATCTATGTTGCTAACATAGGCTGCAACAGCTTTTTGGAACCTGATGGCACCTTAAATAGTAAAAAAAAAAAATCACAAGGTTGGACAGAATGAAGTTGCCACACTCTAGCTTATCGTATGCATTCTCCAAAGCCATGCCAAATGTCATCTTCCTTGGTATCTGTAATGCCCTACTCAATTATTCACATTTTTTAAACTTTAAATGAAAATGTGTGGACATCCTGCAAAAAAAAACCACTGGCCTATAGCCACTCGCCATCATTATTTTCCTCAACATCCTTCTAGGCCCTGTATTTGCAGCCAGCCAACCCGTAATCAATTAAAAATAAATACAGTGGGATTGCGGTATCTGTCGGGGATCGGTTCCAAGCCTCTCCAACGAATGCTGAAAAGGGCAGGTAAAGAAACACTACATATAGTAGGACTGCCATGTCCATGGGATCATAAGTAAAAACTAGTTGGACAACAGCATGAAGTGTTCATTTGAATTATATGAAATTTACAACTAGTTGTTGGAAGCCAGATGGAACAAAAAAAAAAGCCAACAACAGCCCAACATATATTTTTACTGTGAGAACATATACATACCTATCATATCCTCATGAACTGCGTAACTCAATTCTGAAACAGAAGTATATGCTTCAGTTTAATACAAATCAAGTTGCAGACTGCATTATCTGCAACAATGTTTATTACATTTGAAGTTAAGATAATGATACATTGTTTAAGCATGGAGATTTAAAGTGGAGCTATACAACCAAATTATGTATTTCTAAACCCACAGAGTAAGCTACACTGCAAGCTCCTTTACATTAGTGGTAGGGAACTGGAAGGGCTGGGGTCAAAATGTCCAAAAAATAGAGGGGGGGGGAACAAACCAGAAGTGCCCAGATGGCCACTTTTGACCTTCCAACTTCCTCCAAACAAAAACTACACTTATAAACCTTCAGGATCAGAAAAAGCGCTGTATTTCTAAACCCACAGAGTAAGCTACACTGCAAGCTCCTTTACATTAGTGGTAGGGAACTGGAAGGGCTGGGGTCAAAATGTCCAAAAAATAGAGGGGGGGGGAACAAACCAGAAGTGCCCAGATGGCCACTTTTGACCTTCCAACTTCCTCCAAACAAAAACTACACTTATAAACCTTCAGGATCAGAAAAAGCACTTTTTAATCTGTAAAACAGGACCTGGGGTAACACTGGGGGCAAAAATACCCTTGGCAAGGCACAAGTGGCCTGTGCTTCTCCCACATCATCTTGCCTTAACATAAAAGCTTCATTTAACTTGAATGAGCTTTAGATCATGTACCCCCGTTCAATTGGAATGGTAACAGCTCCCTCCATCTTTCCTTGTCACCCCATGAAAGCTTGGCATTACATGAAAGTGAGGTAGACTTGGGCCTGCACTTAGTTTGCCTGGGGCAAAGAACCACAAGTCACTCTTCACAGGGGCAACAAAATTAGAAGGGACGTGAAAGGCTGCATGTGAACTTTTAAGTTCTTTTCATACAGCATCAAATCATTGCTTGAGGCCATGTGGAACTGAATCACAGACTTGAGCAATGTGAATGCCTCAGGGAGGGGACTTGAAGAGGAAAACACTTTTGTATTGTTTTTATTGTTTTTACTTTTTCAGAAAAATAATTTCTGAATTTCCTCCTTCCCCCCCTCCAGGCAGTTACATCTCCAAATTTTAAGCCATGAATCATGTGTTGCATGCAGAGAACTGCAACCTTGCTTTGTTACAGAGAAGGGCTACAGATCTCAGTGACAGAGCATATGCAGTGCAGTCACCATCCAGTTTCTGACATCTGCATGTATAAATAAGAAAAAACCCTGTTGGAAAACTTAGAAGAGTTACTGCTCTATTTAAACAACTTTCAGCTAAATCGAACAATGGTGTGACATGGTACAATATGACTTCCTATGCTTTTATATGGCTTCGGAAGCTCCCGCCGCTCAGCTGGGGGAAAATGCCGGCTAGGGCTTTGTGAGGAGCACGGGGGAGGGCTCCCCCGTGGTCCTTCCCAAGCCCCCGCCAGTCAGCTGGGGGAAAATGGAGCTGTGGGGAAAAATCACGAAGCGATTTTTTCCCATAGGCAACATCGCAATGCGATCGCAAAAGCGATCGCAAAAAAACCATTGCTATGTGAATTCGTTGTTAAACGGGGCGCCCGTTAAGCGAGGCACCACTGTACTTCCAGCAAAGAATGCAGATTTTTAAATGGAACACTGATTTCAGAAATGCAAACTACAGAGAAGAACAATATTGCAAATGTATATATTATTTATCTCCCCACAAATCTAAACTCATTTTATATTTTTGGATTGCAGTTTTAAAATACACATGGAGGTCAGAATCTTATTAGTGTCTGCATAAGTTCTGTGTAACTTGCTGTGGCTAACTGATAAACTTCCCCAGCCATGTCTCAGCCATGTCCCTGGTCCTGCACCTGACTGTTCAACTGAGAGATGTCCTGGTACTTCATCAGTAAGTCATACTTAGCCATAGCAAACTACACAAACACCAACAACATTCTGGTCATTGTGCAGATATCTGTTGTAGAAGATTGCACAAATACAATCCACATTGCACAAATATCACCAGGACAAGAGAAATGATTAATGCAGCAGGAATCCATAAAGCATAGTAAAGGTATCTGTAAAGTGCTTACCAACATGTAAAAGGTAGGAGTAGTCCTTCACAATGACTTCCCCTCTAAGTTTGCCTTCCTGAAGATCAGCTATCACCAGTTCAGAGTTCATATCCTTATAGAGGGAAGGAAAACTTACCCATTAGATGTTTTTTTTTTAACCTTCAGTAAAATTATTCTACATCACCATCATCACTGCCATCACCACCACATCATCTGTGGTGGTGATCACTTTACAGAATACCAGACGCAGGGAACCTGCGGCTCTCCAGGTATGGGACTGCAATTCCTGTCAATGACAGGCTGTCACTCTTGGCTATGCTGTGGGACTGCAATGACAGGCTGTCACTCTTGGCTATGCTGGCTGGGGCTTATAGGAGTGAAAGTCCAACATTATCTAAGGGGCACATGTTCCACACACCTGCTTTCAAATGATGTAAAGGAAGATGTGGAAGTAGGATGAGAATGGACCAATGAAAATAAATGGGCACAGGATATGTGATAATTCAGTCCCAGGGAATGAAGGCTTGAGAGGCACTGCCAAAGGTAACATGGGAATTGATTTCAAAGATTGATTTTAAGTAGAAATTTGGGCAGAGAGGGGGAGCTGGCATTATTTCTAAGAGTCTTTTCTGGCACAGAGTTAGGCAGGAAAGAATGGGTAAATCTGTTTAACAGAGGGGAGGGAAAACAATTGCTTTATCCCAAAGCAAAAAATATGAACAGCTTTATATTTAAAATATAACAACAGCACAGTTTTGCATTTCTTTACTATCAATTTTGTTTGTTTGTTTGTCTGTTTTACCTTTTGTTTAGTATATATGACCACAGTAAGTGAATCATCTGTCTGGAACCAATCATAACTGAAACAGATTGAGAAAACTATCAATCTTTTCGAAATAAACATTTAAGTGTCTGCTTCAATTTGCCTTCAAACTGGCAGGGTCAAGGGTTCTGTTTTGGCTGGCACTAATTGCTCACATCACAGTGTCTGTAACATATAAAATAAGGCTACATCTCAGAGGACCTCTCATGGACTATAGATGCCAACATGCTAGTGAAAAAGGCACAGAAGAGGCTGTATTTCCTGAGAATGTGCGGGAAGTTAAATTTATCTCAGCATTTACTTCTGTCCTACTATTGTAGCACCATTGAGAGTGTCCTAACCTATGGCATTCTTGTATGGTTTGGAGTAGCTCTGTAGTGGAGAAAAAAGCTCTAAAGAAAACCAATAAAATTGCCCAGAATATCATCAGGCTCCAGCTATCAACCCTGGATGACATCTTCACATCCTGCTGTCTGAGGAAGTCACATATCATCCTTAGAGACTTTTCCCATCCTGCTTACAACTTCTTTGAACTATTGCTGTCTGGCAGAAGATACAGAACAATTAACTCAGACCACACGTGTTCTGAATAGTTTTTATCCCAGAGTTATAATTGCACTTAATAATGAACTTAAAGACCACCAGTAATGAACAGTTGGACAGTGTTACTTAGCCTGCAGTGTAGATGTTTGTATTTCTAGTGGGGGGGGTTTTGTATGTGTGTGCATGTGGGTCTGGTGTCTGTGTGAATTTCGTTGTATGTGTATACTATGTATAGACCTACAATGACAATAAATGTATTTATTTTTTATTACTAACCAGTTAACTTTTCACCAGTTTTTGTTCAGTTCTGCTAGCCAGTTTTAGAGCACTGTGTCACAATTCCTGATTTCTGGTATCCTCATGTAACTCACAAATTGATTTCTCTTTTCCTACCCCACACCTTGGTGACATACATTATTAACTCATAACTGTCCAAGCATTTTATGTCTGATTCTTGTTCTCAGACCACAACATTTTGATCAGTAACAAAATCAGGGATGGATAGACTTTAGGTCTGTGTGATCTAGAGTCCCATAAAACTAGTGGGAAAATGTATTATTTTGTTACAACACTAGCTTTTGTAAATTTGTTTATTTGCAAACAGAAAATAACCACATAATACAAAGCTAATACAACTCTGCTCAGTGTCTATATATAAAAAAGAACATAACAAGGATATAAAGATACAAGAAGTTAAAGTGTTATAATACCTGGGAACTAATTCTTTGCAACTGTTATCCAAGACTTTATTTTTAGGAAACGTGCCTATGAACAAGAACATCACAATATATAAGATTTAATATATAAAAAACTTAAGTGAAATTTTCAATAAACCATAAATCCAAACAATATTAATATCTCAGCATTATAATGGCTGAAATCATTTTGTTTAGTCACAATAAAGTATGCCCATTGAATCATTGGGAATTAAAATGGACTTATTCGAGCTGCAACTTAGTTTAGGTCCATCTAATCAATGGAATTTACAGAGGACCTGACTCACCAATGTCCAGTGGAGTTTACTACACTAAGCAACAGGATTTCAGCCACTAACACTAGTGATGTATTAACTTCACCTGCCTTTAAGAATTGTTGTGACCATACATTTTTATTTTTTTATTTATTTTATTTATATCCCGCCTATCTGGTCGGTTAAGACCATTCTAGGCGGCTAACAGCATAAAATAGTATAAAAAATTTTATGGGATCATGCAGGCTGCCCTGACCTTCTCAGAAATGCACAATGATAATTAAAATTATAATAGGCTCAAACACAAAGTATATTTAATTTTGAAGTTGGTTCCATTTGGAATGGGTTCAGAACTTGCAATTTAGTTTGACTTTCTTAGGTATTTTAAATATCCAGTTGCCCTTTTGTAGCATTAGAACTATATCAATTTAAAAGGATCAAGTCACAGGTTCAAGACAAAAGGTTCATGTTATCCCAAGTATAATCGTTTGTAATACTGTTTGGAATTCCACTGGTTATTTTCACTGGTACAAATGCAATGGGATAAATCACAGCAGCAAACTGACAGTAATTGATAAGGCATCTTGGAGAAAAAGAAAAAGCTAGTCTGTCAGATATGCTTTAACTTGAATACCAGTCCCACATATACCAGAAACCAGATTAAAATCCACTTCATTAGAGGAATCCCTTTTTAAAAAAAACCCCACATCCAGAACAGAAGGTACTGCTGCAGTCTACAGATTAGTGCTGTTTTAAAAGAAGCTATAATGACACACCAAAGCAATCTGAAAGGGACAGTGAGATTCCAACCATAAACTAAGGAACAAAATCTAGATACCCAAATGAAATCCTATGGTCTTTGTACTAGTATGCACTCCATCATCACAACTCTTCTATCTAAATATAGTTCTTATTATTTAATATATGCCCACAAATCAGGAATTGAAATGTCATCCAAAAACATTAAGATCCCCAGTATTAGCCAGCAAAATGAGACTAGGTAAGGAAAAATAAATCAAACAAAACCTGTGTGAAATTGTGAAATATACTGTAGCACTGTTCTCTGCCATTCTTGTTCCATAACTAAATGGTAGCATGTTTAGCATTATTAGTATTTTTGCAGAAATAATCTAATAATTTAGCCAAATATTGCATATCTGAGAATGGGACTTCCATTGATCAGAATAGAAAGGGTTGTATACTGTTCAAAATGTTCTATAAGACAGATTCACTAGAATTACACAACCAAGTCTTTAGACCCCTTGAAGATTGATTGGCTTTGCTTAGCAGAAGCTTTAATAATCTCTTCATCAGATCATTAAACAGTCTGTTAACAGACATATAAAATACAGTATAGAAAACTTCCAAATATGCTATTTTAGTAGATTGCCATTAAGATACTACATACATTCCTTAGGGGAAGGTTTTTTCAATGTCTGGAGAACCAATGACTGCAAGATACAATAGTCTACATACACTCAGTTTGTGTAAATGTAATGTTACATTTCAAAATACTGTTTCAGTTGTGTACAACAAGAAAGTTTCATCCTTCAGATATACAACTTAGGGTCAAAAGTCTAGCCATTTCTTGATTAATTCTTACAGACATATTATTATCATTCCATTTTTGAGTTACAGATGAAGAGTAGAGGCTGGGAGAAAACAATTTGTTCAAGGTACCATGATATATCACATGCTAAATCTAATGTAATCTCTATTGGAGGATACCAGTTCTTTGCTACACGTCGATTATTTTTGCATCATGATTCCACAAGAGTAGCAAAAATGTACCAGATTCTTGCCGTACCTTTTAATCATAATTTTACTCCCATTCTATATTTTAGGACCAGCAATTTCAAATGGCACACAATTGTCTATGTGGTACAGCAAGCGAGAGAGACACAAGTTGATCAAAAGCTTATTTACACAAGGTTGATAACTATAGGTTGTACTGCTGTACCCCAAACTACATGCAATACATTCCTAATTCCATCTACTTTTACATGCTCAGCATTGACCCTACTATTGTTTATTCATTCTTAACAGGTAATGAAACAGATGTCCCAAGAAGCATACTTTACTAGCAATTCTTTCATTGTTCTATTCAGCCTCCAATAAACTCCTTCAAAAGCAAACAAATGTGCCATTCCACCATGGCATATAATAATTAACTATCATCTTCCAGATAGACCCTCCTTAGCAATAAGAAATTGCTCTCAGTAGGCAGCATGACATACTTAAATGTATACAATAAGAATAGACTGAGGAATGGGAGATACTTTATCAAAGGTCTGTTTCTTCTCCAAAGCATAGTAGAGAGAACATCAATATTTTTTAAGTTGAATCTTATTATACTTGCCATAAACTACTGTCTTTAGCAGACAAATCTGCCATTCAGTTGAGTGCCTTAATGGAATGGGCTGGAAATAAAAATCCATTTATGCCAAGAAAAGCCACCTTTCAGGTTCATCTATTTAGACAAACAAACCAAAGACAGAGGGCACAGTGCAAATGGAAGGGATCCCTAGGACTCTGGAGCCTGAGGAATGGAGGGAGTTCTGATTTGTCTCTTAACTGTGTTGTGCTGAAAACTGATGCAGAAGAAATAGAAAATGTCCTTGTGATGCTAGCCAGCAAGCAATCCTGCCAAAGGGATTATTTTTTTTAAAAAAAATTTACGTAGTGACAGCAATCACGCTTCTGTAAACAATTAAGAGTGCTGTTTGTTATTAGAACATCAGAATGAGGACTAAACAAATTTGAACTTTGTCACACTTTCTTCAGAAGCTTTTTCTGAATTGTTCTGATACCTGCCAGGCCTAGATCAATCTGTGCTTTGGAAGGCAAAACAGAAATAGATCTGAATAAGCCTCGAGGCAATGGTATCTTCCTGACTTCTCTTCTGCATTGCTCTCAGGTCCTTTAAAACTTTTGCTTCTGATTTCAACTAATTGTGATCTGTCATTATCTCTAGAGTTGGATAAATGGTGATTAACCACAAGCATAGTTTAGCAAAACAAACTAACTTCAAACTCTGGTTACCGAGACAAACTTGTTTGCCCAAGTTCAAATACTGTATAGCAAATCATGACTATACTGTACCTGATTCCTTCCAATCTCCTCCTCACAGATGCTCAAGAATATGAATAAAAACAGCACAAACCCAAAGCTTCTGTACATAACACTGAAAAACATGTTTCTGTTTTATCTAAATCCAGTTGGAAACTGCTACGATCAAGATTTCTTCTGCGTCAACCGACTACAAAGAACCTTACCAGCCAGAATTATTCCCATAGTCTCATTTGTGCATACAGGCATATTTCCTCATCTTAGCTTTCATTACATTTCTCTTTCCTTTTCACACATACAATGCTAGCCACAAAAATCAATCTTAAAGAAGGTAAATCGTTGTTGAGAGTTCCCCCCCCAAATAAAAAACATACAAGAGAGATGATCAGAAATCAGACAGCAGTAAGATCCAGTGCAGTGTCTTTAAAGTAGATGAACAGAAATATTAAAGAGTAGATGAACAGAAATATTAAAAGAAAGGTTTAAAAAGGGCTGATCTCTGCAGCTCTCTGTCCCCCTCTAGCTGTATTGTTAGAGCATGACACTAAAGGAGAGAGAGAGAGAGACTGCATTGAATGGATCGCCAGTTGTAATTTACTGGGTTTTGATATTCCCAAAGAACTGTAAGAAAATTTATTGCAGCAGACTAAATATATTCAAAAAATTACTTTCCTTACTTTCCTCTCCAATAGATCGCCAGTTGTAATTTACTGGGTTCTGATATTCCCATGGAACTGTAAGAAAATTTACTGCAGCAGACTAAATATATTTTAAAAAATTACTTTCCTTACTTTCCTCTCCAACGCATGTTGCCTGCTTGCAACATTTTTATGATGCACATCTTCCCTGCACAAGTGATATACAGTAACTTGGATTCTTGGTCTGATTAGACTACAGGAGCAGGATACAGGAGAAACAACCAACTGCTAAACTGGAGATGGGAGGTCCTGTGTTTAATTTGAAAATCCACATATCTGATTTGATCCCTTCCGACCTTGCATACTTCCATTTGAGCAGTATATTTTAAAAGCAAAAGCAAATTTGGGATCCTATGAGCACAATGACTTACCATTCAAGATCTTGTTTTCTTCAGGTACAGTAGAGCAAGTCTCTGCAAGTACGCAAGAAAAGTGCTGTGATCATAATAGCAGAAAATTCCCAGGTTACGATACGACAGCCACACATTACAGCAAAATATCTTTACTCAAAGCCAAATAAACTGAAGGAAGTACTAATCAGGCAAAGGTTCTGTGTTAAAGCAATAACAGGATTAAACTGTAATAAGGAATAGATCTAACTGTATATAAATGTATGTATTTGATGAGCTCCTGGAAAATATCTGTTAATTTTCTAAAACTTAATCATTTAGGTAGACTTTACTGAAATGATTTCAGGGACTGGAGATTAAGTTAAAAAGCACAAATATCGAATACTGGTACTGAGTTCTATCATTAAAATAAACTTATTTTTACATTCCTTCTTTTGGAGACAAAAGGATTCTCTCATCTCATAGCCAGCAAGAATTTAAAGAGACCAAAGACCAAAGAGAGGCTGGTCAGGGAAAAAAGCCCTATATGTCATTCACAATCTGAGAACTGTCTAGGATACCCCATCTTTTTATGTTACTTTTTTAATCATACAAACATGGTAAAGCTAAACTAAGATGGTTCTGTTTTCAAGCTGTTTGGATGTACTTAAAGTTCACTAAACCAATTTAGTTTCAACAGCTCCCATGCGACCAAAAGACATTACACTTACACACTACAGCACTGAGGAAAGACAACAGCATCAGCTACCTAGCAACCATAAAATCCCATCTTCTGCATTCAACTCTGCTTAGTTCATGAGATAATAAAACCTGTTAGTGGGTTTTATTATTATGTATGTTACTTTATTGTATTGTATTGTATTTTATCACTCATGTAAGCCACCCCGAGTAGACTTTGTCTAGAGGGACGGGGTATAAGTCCAAATAAAGTAAAGTAAAAAAGCAAATTGAGAGAAGAGGCTAAAACAGTGTCTTTTAAAAGGTAGGCAAATTTTAGAAATGTTGGTAAGCATTTAGGACAAGTACCAACACTAACAATAAGAATATGTATTAATGGGAAGAAATCATTGCTTGAGTTACCTGTGCAAAAGGATCAGTCATCTAGATTTATACTTCAAGAATTTAATCTATTAAGCAACTGCAACAAATGAATGCGTGTCAAGCTAAAGGTACATGTCTACACATGAGAAGGTTTGTGGACACTCCCCCCCCCACTCCTCCTCCAATATAACCACTCCAAAGTTACTTTCTTGCTTGGAACAGTCAACATTCATTAACAGCAGCCCAACCAGGGCAACATCTAAATGCTCTACATGTAATAGTACCTTCCCCTTCCAACTGGGACAGGAAAGGGTTCCAAGAACTTTTCTCCAACTTCTCACTCTTGATTCTGTCAGCAGTCCAAGGGTTCTCTTGAGCCTCAGACTAAGTGTTGATTAATTCCTGAGGCACCAACACCTGCAACAATGGCTCTGGTTCCCATTTCTACCACTCTTGGTCCCCTTACATCCCCTAGTGTTTTCCCAGCCCTTCATGTCTGACCTCGGTCTTTGCTTGGGTTTGGGAAGGCTTTTCCTTAGTCTCACGGGTTCTCCTCTCACCACTGTGCCAAAGCTTGTTTCCTCCCTCCTCCTTTCTCTCCTCTCTCACTCCCCTCAGCATGAAGGTTTCCTGGGGACTTCCTCTCCTTTCCATCTTTCCACTTCTTTCCTGGACACCACTAACTTCTCCTATTCTCCTGTCCATGGATTCTCTAACTCATCCTCTAAATCAATCCATTCCCAACCCTCTGAAAGAACGTTTTTCAGACTTCTTTTCCCTCTCAATCCACCCCGTTTCCCCACTTTTTGACCCTCCTTACTCCTTCTTCTCTCCTCCCCCTCTCTTTTTTCCCACCTTTTCCTCAGCCTGTGCTATCAGATTTTTTTCCCTCTGTATTTTCTGATGCATCTGGCTGTGGAGCCAGTGACTGGGAGTTCAGTTCTCCACTGTGCCTCCCTAACAGGGGCTGGACACAATGAACCATAGGGTCCCTTTCAGCTCTTCTAGGTTATTATTATAAATGGTCTGCCAAATGGTTTCCCTGAAGGAGGAAAAAATAGTCTAGTTCAGACCAAAGATTATAGAGGAACGCAGTTCAGTAGGAAGAGAGATAGTAGGCAAGGAAAGTAAGGGAAGAATGCAAAGTGGACAGGAGACTAAGAAAGAGGAATGTGAAAGAATAGTTGGTGGAGAATGATGTTTGATTCTGAAAGACACGTTTGTGAAGAATGAAGAGAACAGAGGATACAGGATAGCTCAACCATCTGCTTCACAGCAGCTAAGGACAAGAGGAAAGAAAGAGTAGGAACGTCTTCAAAAACAGGAACTTCTGGGACATTATTTGGTAGAGGGAGAGTTGAAGAAAAGTGTAGGTCCGCAAGAAAGTTAAATAAACACCAGTGGTTTTATCTCCTATTGATAGGAAGGAAACTGGAGAGTTGAGAGGCAAAGAAACCATTTTAAAATTTTCTTGACAACAAATGTCCTTTGTTTCTGCTAACACTGAAGCACTGTGTCCTGCACATTCAAGGGGGACAATGAGAACCAAAGGAAAAGAAAAGGCTGAATTTTGCATTTTGGAGGTAGCCAATTGCTGAGCTATAGATTTCTAGCAAAATTCAAATGTAATCTCACATGAATACTTGTCATACTTAGTAATGTCCAGTGGAGGGTAACCATTTCTCAAACTAAAGAATTTTCTCATATCACACATTTAATTTACAAAGCTGCATATCATACCATCTGGTAGAAGTTACATATAATATTGTCGTAACTAATAGATGACTATTGTACAAACATTATAAACAAGAAAGCTTATCAGATCACAGGACTGAAATAGCATGACAGTGACAGTTTTCTTTTTATTATTACCGTAAAGAAAATTTCTAAATACCAAACCCAATAGGAGAAGACTTCCTAAGGGCAGTGAATTGAGTACACAAATTCTGAAGCAAGCAGAACCACTATTTCATGCATAAGCACTGAACAATTGCTTCTACACATATGGAAGGGGGGGACCAGGGTTTTCATGAGTAGAAACATCTCCCCATACAAGGGATGTTTCTACTAATTTGGTGTAACTTTCAATTGATCTATTGTGGCCATCTGTGGGGCTTTTGCTATGTGATATTACTTTATGCTTATGATATTTGGTTATTTTGTTAATGTAATTTTTCATCTTTATGCATTATTTTGTGTTCTGTGTTCTTTTATATGTTCCTTTGTAAGCTGCCCTGAGTAGTGGCTCACCACCAAACAGGCAGGACAAAAGCCGAACGAACGAACGAACGAATGAATCACTTTCTCAATATCCTCAAGTTTTGCTAGTATGTATAATCTTACACTTCAGAATAACTTTGAAGCTAAGTCCTCCAACAGTTGAGATTTGCAATGAAATGCTCATACACAGTTAAAATTCACCCATATGATGCATTCACATTCGGAGAACCTGTTATTACAGAATACTTTACACACCTGTGACGATGCAGAGGGATATGGCATTGTACAGGCAAGCATGCAAACACACCATGCTGCAAACAAATGTTGAAGATCCCCCAGGTATTAATATCAAGGATATTAACAAATACTGTCAAGTTTTCTTGTCCTTGACAACATTGAGTGTGTCCACACATTGAGATATATCACTAAAAAGGGGGGGGGGAACCAGTGCAAGATTTTTCACTCCTAGATAAGAATAAGAACAACAGTACTTTGTTAGCAGCATTTGCCAAAAATTAAAAAAAAAATCATGTAGGAAAATGTGTGCTCTGTGTTTAAAAAAAACTAGCATTTTGCAAAAAAAAATGCAAGGTCTTCTTAGCAAAATAGGGGTTTTAGGGGTTTCACACAAGAACTACTTTTGTTATTTTTTTAATGAAAAGAGTGCCAAAGTGAGAAAAACCTCTCATTATCTTGCCCAGCGGAGGCCTTTGAAATTTTAGATTCTTGCCTGCCTGGATAGAAGCAGCAAATATTTACAACCTTATTAGATCTTTTTTGTGATGCAGCTGTTATAGAATACATGGAGGGAGAAGAGTAAGGGCTGCATAATTTACAGATACTAGAACTAATATGTTGCTTTCAGCTGCATGGAAGAGTCACACAAGCATTTTGATTTGATGGTTCTTGTGTTCAGAGGAACAGCAAGTCATGGCTTCCCAAAGCCAATACATAAAATCCAGGTTCTCCATGTTATCAATGTAGCAATGAATAGTGCAGAAATGAATGATCACTAAAACAGAAATCAGTTCATGCCATCACTTTTCTAATTTATAGTCACAATAAAAAACTCCCTCCCTAGCACATCCTTTATCCTCTCCACTTTGAATACTTTGTACTGGTAAAGAAACATTTTTTCTTTTATCTTGAACAGCCTTACCTTACGATAGATATTAATCATGATCATACCAGAGTTATTTCAGCTGTTTTATAATGGGTGTTTTGAGATACACTGTTCCATTTTTGTTTCTGTGACTTATATTTGAAAGTCACCTTCAATACTTTTCAGCGCAAAATAAGTATATAAATGAAATAGCATGCATGTATGCAAGAAGGAAATCAAAGTCTCTCTCTTTGGAACAAAACTGGCATATTCAGCATCAATCCCTTATTAGTCATAATAAGAACATATAAATAAGTCACAAACATGAAACAGCCTAAGTTTCCAGGAGGAAAAGTTGAACCACCTCAGAGAGTTTGAAGCCACATCAGCATACTTCAATGAGTAAAACATAAAAACATGAAATGAATATGAACTGTAAAGCACCGTATATACTGTAGCTGGCATAAAAGGACTTAATAGCACTATCACTATCACTTAAGATAATCAAGAATAATCAAATAAAATGGGACTACTTGGATACAGGACAAGTTTTCTGTGACTCGAGAAATTCAATCAATGCAGCACTTTATACTAACAAAGAGACATCTAACTTTTTAGTGGTATCATGTGCAAGGTAATAAACATATCTGCAAATCCAGGCATGAACAAAGAAAGTCAGGACAGGATGCACTTACACTACACAAGGCAAATACGGTTTTTCAAAAAACAAGCACAGTAGTCCTAGAGGTATCACTGCCAGTTTTTTTAAATAAACATAAAACAGCTTTCCCAAACTTGGAACATTTGAGAAGTTTTGAACTACAGTTCCCATCAGTGCCAAACAGTATAACCAGATAGGAATGATGGGGATAATAGTTTAAAGCAATTGCATAGGAAAAGCTGCATTTAGAGATTAAGTATTTTTCAAGATACGGCCTCTTTAAATTGCCATGAGCTTTTAAATGGTTTCAGAGAAAACATTCCCCATCATGCAACTTGCAAACACAAGATACAACATTTTGTTTTGGCATATGGGATTTACCTTTCAAAGGAGCAACAAAAGGTTTAAAAGCCATTCTTCCAACCATACATTCTTTTAGCATTGATTCATAATTGACCCAACGATGAACCTGCAGAGGAGAAAAAAGTACTGCTTTTAATGGAAGAATAAAGCACGTTTGATAGGGCTTACTTCGGAACAAATACAGGGGTGTCATAAAACGAACAAGTTACCCAGCCCTGTACTTGGACCTGCTGAATGGTGAAAAAACATCCAGAGAGGGAAGTACATAACCATTATATTTACTTACATTACAAACCCTCTGAAGACAGAGACATTTGAACAAGTGAGCTTTTTCTCCTGGATGTGAATTCCAGATGTGTAGCTCTCTATTTCTAAACAAACCAACTATATTAACAAAAGAGGTACTACACTTCATGCTTTAACAAGTCTTTTCTGAAAAAAATCTTTTGCTTCACAAAAGGCATCTTTATTTTACGAGTGAAGGTCTCCATTACCCAAACAGAACAAAAATTGGAAAAGTAAATTTAAGAAAATAAAAGTACTGATTTTAAAATGTGTGGATCTTTAAAGCATATTGGTATGGAACAATACACTACATGGACTAATACTCAGTAAAAGTATTTCTTACAAAATTTGGATAACATCTGTCATCAATTAAATACAGAATATAGCTAAATGAAATGAGATAATTACTGCTTTCATTGATTTCTGGAGTGGCAAAAACAGTTTTGCTTCAAACCCATAATTAAGATTTGCCATAGTATCTATCACCAGTCAATAAGATATACATATACAGTAATATTTTTTTTAAAAAAAGGCAAAAAATAAGGCAACATACCACCTTAGCATGCATTTGCTGAATTATATTTTGAACACTACCTGCATTGTTGTTACCTGATCAAATAGATCTGTGCCATCTGATCCTGCTGCTTTCATTAGCTCCTCTTCACCACCAGGGTGATATTCCATGTATGGTGTAACATTATATACAAGACCTACAAAGTTAAACAAAACAAAACAAACAAGAATCAGGGCTATGTATGTTTTTTTTAAAGAGTTTACTGCTAAGACATGCAAGTTTCACTGTTAAAAACAGCCAAATGCCTATGAAATGGCGTATAGGTGCTTAGGGATAAGCCCTCCATTCAAAATGACTTCTCATTAGCTACACGTTACATAAAATTGAAGGCAAAGAGTTTTATTAGGCAAAGAGCTTTATTTCAGCAGAGATCGCATGGGCACCACAGGCAGGATCTTGCTCCCTGATGGGCCGCAGCTTCACCGAATGCAGGCTGTCCTCAGCTGGGGAATCCCACACACAGTGAAGTCACTCATACCCCATTCTAGGCACCTTCTGCAGGCGCACTCCTACAGCCAGCGCATTAGCCAGGGAGCCAGCTGGTTGCTGGGTTAAGGTTGCCTGGGCTGCCTCTTCCCCGCCTTTCTGGAAAGAAGATGGACTACAGAGACAACACACCACTACCCGCCTTCTCAACTGAAGTCAAGTTGGGCAAAAAAAGGAGGGAATCATCACAGTTATCTATAATAAAGCAGAACTCCCCGGCCAAAATCCCACTGAATAATTTTGCACATGCAACTGGAGGTTGTGACCACAGCAGAATCAACCGTAAGAAGGCATGAGGGATACCCACGAAGCACTTCTGCCAGCACCTTGCGCAATTGCATGATTTTGCCCCCTGTGTGTCATTTGCCAACCCAACAGATGCCACTCTGGAAGGAAGGATTTTAGGAACCCTTTGTGGATTAGTTGTTTGATCTCTGATCTAAAAGGGGAAAAAAAAATAAACTGCTTCCCTTCCATGACCAGACAGAAACTCAAGCTCAGGGGCCATGTTCTGTAAAGTTTCCTAGTGGCTACTCTGCCTTTGCATTTACTCAAACAATATTCTTAGAAGGTCTTATCAATACCAAGCACACCATCCTAGGCTTATTCTTCAAGAGGGAAAATATTGGTAAAAACGGTGGCAAGACACATGTTTTACACACAGAAAAGCCAGGTTCAGTCCTGGCAGCACCAAGAGAAAAAGAAACACCACCACAGTGCTGGACCACAGGGCACATTCATCTTAAGGATCTGTGTAAGACTGGGGACCTATTCGCCTCACAGTAAAGACCCCTGGTTTACTGTCTTAAACCGATGTCCTGAAGACAGTTATTTTAAATAGAAAAGAAATAAACTTCTCTCATTATGAGCTGGCATTTGAGGTTTAAACATACAGGCCAGTATATTCCTGCTAGTCCTGAGTAGAACAAATCCACTGGCTCTTCCTGAAGACTTACTGAAGCGTTGATTTACCACTAAGCAAATTGATTCAATGGGTCTACTATTAATTAGGCCTATCAACAGGATACTGGCCATAGACTTTGCCAACACAGCCAGAAGTAACATCTTGTTCTCTGAAGAAGGGCTGGACAGAGGCAGACTTCAGTCAAGCTAGATTCCTTTCCCTTCTTGGCCATCTGCTCTTTCTCCCCATTCATAACCTCTATTTTTAAAGAATTCTGACTTATTTCCTATCTTTCTAAAACTGACACCCAAGGCTCAGAATATAATTTTTAAAAACTGCAGATAGAAACACAGTAAACTACACAATTGAAACACATATTAATGAAAACCCTTTAAAAGCATCTCAGTTTTTTAAAAAATTGAGAACTGCCCTATAAACTATGGATCATTTGTCCAAATTATTTATTTATTTCAGAAGAAATGGAACATGGTATAATTGTATGTGAAACAAGAACAGACAAATCTGTCATTTTCACTTCCCCCTACATTTGTAAAGCACCTTCCATTTCTCACGCAGTGCCATTTCTATATTCCAGTAGATTCTTATTAAAAACAAACAAACTTCAACTAAATCCACACTCATCCTTAATTTGGAAAGTCTTCCCATTTTATGTGCACTAACAGTGCCATCTAGTGTAATGTTCTAAGCATTGCAGAGGAATATGTTTAAATACTGTATATTATTCAGGGTTCTACCCTGCAATTGCAGAGAACAGGTGATTTCAAACCCACCAGTGTTCTCTATGTCTCTCAACATATATTATGGAAGACTTAATGGCTAAAATCCTGTTCCTTAGAGCAGTAAGTTACAACTAGAGTAGGCCCACTGAACCTAGGGATTTGATGAGCCTACCCCTCCATAAATTCCATTTATTCAATGGACCTATTCTAGCTGCAACTTACTACTCCGAGCAATAGGATTTCAGCCACCATTAGCTGCACCAAATGCTCAATAGTGGTGATGATAAAGTTATATAGTAATTAATCACTTGAAAATATGATACATTTATTAATTGCATTGTGGTATTTCTGACACAAAGGAATAAAGACGCTGCCTCTTGGCAGTTTCATTTTTTCTGCTAATTTTTATCCCTGCGGTGTATCCTTGACATAAAAAATTGTCTAAATTGTTCACAATAAGTGCAAAGAAACTTATATTTATAATCACCTAGATATATACAGTGGTGCCTCACTTAACAAGTGCACCATACAATGATGAATCCGCATAGTGATCCCCTTTTCGGTATTGCTAATGCGGAGGCATACGGATCATTCCAATGGGCAAAACTCACATAGCGACGATCGGTAAGTGTTTCGCTTACCGATCTTCACTTTGCAATGCCCGCGGATCAGCTGTTCGGCGGTTCAAAAAGAGCCTACTCCTCCATAAATTCCATTTATTCAATGGACGTATTCTAGCTGCAACTTACTACTCTGAGCAATAGGATTTCAGCCACCATTAGCTGCACCAAATGCTCAATAGTGGTGATGATAAAGTTATATAGTAATTAATCACTTGAAAATATGATACATTTATTAATTGCATTGTGGTATTTCTGACACAAAGGAATAAAGACGCTGCCTCTTGGCAGTTTCATTTTTTCTAATTTTTATCCCTGCAGTGTATCCTTGACATAAAAAGCTGTCTAAATTGTTCACAATAAGTGCGAACGGATTAACCTCGCTATGCGAGGCACCACTGTATAGTGAGCTGTTATAGTTCATTGGATTGGAAGGCCTAGCTGCTGAGGCAGGGGCCAAGAGTTTGAATCCCCACTGCACCTCCACAGTGAGGGACCAGCTGAGATACCCCTGGGCAAGCTGCATAGTCTTCAGTCTTTTCAAGCTTATGTGTATAAAGACTGGGCTGACACCCTCTCTAGGATTCTAAAGGAATGCTAGACAAGAGTTAGGATTCTACAAATTAAATCAGGAACTGGTCAAAACAGTCTGGGAAGCTTGATGTAAGTCAGAATTGCCTTGACCGTACATAACTATCATAACCCATATATGAAAAATATTATGGGAAGACATCAATAAAGTACAGTGGTGCCTCGCTTAACGAGCGCACCATATAACGACGAATTCGCATAGCGATCCGTTTTTTTGGATCGCTAATATGAAGGCATACCGACGGTTCCAATGGGCGAAAATCGCTTAGCGAAGATCAGTAAGCGTTTCGCTTACCGATTTTCGCTTAGCGAGCTGTTATAGTTCATTGGATTAGAAGGCCTAGCTGCTGAGGCAGGGGCCGAGAGTTTGAATCCCCACTACACCTCCACAGTGAGGGACCAGCTGAGATAATCTGGAAGTGTTCCTTACCTTCAGTATGGCCTTGGACAAGTTGCATGGCTTAGAGTGTCACCAGAGGAAGGGATGGGTAAGCCACTTCTAACTACTTTATACCTTAAAAATCCTGGGAAGCTTGCCGTAAGTCAGAATTGCCTTGACCATACATAACTATCATAACCCATATATGAAGAATATTATGGGAGGACGTCAATACAGTACATTCAATTTCACACAAAGTTTGACACCTACTATGTGTTACATCAACTTTTTAAGGCTGGAACTAGAGATTAGGAATTGCAATTGTGTACTGACATAACTGGTGTGTAAACATGTATGACTCACTGTAATTAATTGTATTGTCTTCTACAGGCATATATAATCATTTTGAATCAGGTTGTTTGTTTACCAACTTTGATTTAGCAATTTTTTCTTTCCCACATACAGGAAGTGTTTGCAACTACCATGTTTCCCCAAAAATAAGACAGGGTCTTATATTAATTTTTGCTCCAAAAAACACATTAGGGCTTATTTTCAGGGGATGTATTAATTTTTTCATGTATAACAGTCTACAATGATTCAAATACAGTCATGTCATCTTCTTCTGGTTGCTGCACAATGGCGGAGGGTGGGGTTTCACTTAACTGGGGCTTATTTGGGGGGTAGGACTTATACAGTATTACAAACATCCTGAAAAATCATACTAGGGCTTATTTTCAGGGAAACAGGGTATTATCACCATGACTTTTTTTGTATTGCAACAAGAGGTACAATGTATTTTGGTGAAGGTTTCATATTTTCTGGTGCATTAGTTATAGCTGGAGTATGATTGAAGTTGGTCAGCACCAGCAGGACATGAAAGACAATAATTAAAACCAATAAATATATCTGCTAGGCTCAATTTGTCAAATGGTTTTCAGAGGGGCAGTTGTGTTAGTTTGTTTCCGCATGCAGGGAAAAAACAAAGAGAAAAGAGTTCTGGCACTTTAAAGACTATTTCAGCACAAGTTTTCATAAATAACAATCCACTTCATCAACAGGCCATGTATCTAGTAAACTGTAATCCACCAAAGCTTGCAGTGAAATAAAATTGTCAATCTTTAATATGCTGGTATTCTTGCTTTTGTTTTCCTGTCCATTATCCAGCAGGGCATTTAAGGATTACAGAAAGAAAAAAGATTGCCAAAGAACAGATACTAGTGTAAGGTTATGTCTTCCAGGAATAATCCAAAAGATTACTCAGATTCTCATAGGTCTATCAATAGCAATACTGTACACCATGAAATTTAAGCAGAAACATTATACAGTGGTGCCTCGCTTAACGATTTTAATTGGTTCAAAAAAAAAACATCGCTAAGCGATGTTAACATTGTTAAGCGAAACACCATTTCCCATAGAGATGCATTGAAAACCGGATAATCCATTCCAATTGGAACGGATTACCATCCTTAAGCAAAAATCCCCATAGGAAAAAACATTAAGCGAAACCCATTGAAATGCATTGAAGCCTATTTCAATGGGGGGAAAAAATTCACAAAAAATTCAAAAAGACTCAGAACAAAGCCAAATTAAGTTAACGAAGGTTTTATTAGGTGCACTAACGATTCCAAGCATTTTAAACATTTTTAAACATTTTAGAATATTTTAAAAATAGCAAAAACGGGGCTGTAAGCTGCTATTCTTGCTTTTGTTTTCCTGCCCATTATCCAGCAGGGCATTTAAAGATTACAGAAAGAAAAAAGATTGATAAAGAACAGATACTAGTGTAAGGTTATGTCTTCCAGGAATAATCCAAAAGATTACTCAGATTCTCATAGGTCTATCAATAGCAATACTGTACACCATGAATAGAAAGAGCAAATCTCCTGATATTTCGAAAAGTGTCCAGTCTGCCTATGAAAGAAATAGAATGCTAAATCCTGGTTTGTTCTGGCAAAGCAATTCGGAAACATTATATATAGAAAAAGCAAATCTCCTGATATTTTGAAAGGTGTCCAATCTGCCTATGAAGGAAATACAAATCCTGGTTTGTTCTGGCAAAGCAATTCTTATGTCTTTTTTTTCCAATATGTCACAAATGTCTATAATACACGTGCTATTTTAATACAATGGAAAGATGCAGGTAAGGTATCATATTTATTGACGACATACCATTTCTCCACTTTCCCCAGAGAGTATCAAGTCTGCAAATCTCTGAATAGAAGAAAAGGCATTAACCCCTTCTCTTCTCACAAAAAATGCACCTATTGTTTCCAGCAAGGGTGGTGAATAGTCAGTTCTTGGAAGGTGAGAGGAAGAAAACATTCTCAATGAGAAAACATTCTCTCAATGTATCAAGCTGCATGCTACTATCTAAACACCAAATCTCCATAAATTCTAAATTAAACCAAGTAGGAGAGGTTAAGCCTTTGTTTGCAATATATTGATTGGAAAATTCTATACATGGGGCTAACATCACTATTTAGTATTACTTATCTCTTACCTGGAAAGAGGAATAGAAATCAATCTTCATATTGGTTAGTAACTGGGCTTTCATACTGTGTTTTTATTCTATTCTGCTTAATTGCTAACTGTAATTTTTTCCTCTTTGGTTACCAATATAGAAAATACCAGCTTCACTTAACCATTATTATAGCTACCTACTACTGTAGTAACCTCTCACACTCTTATGTTGTAAGAACGTTATCAGAAACATTCACTTATGAAAACATAAGTGAAAATAACAATATACAAAAGAGAAATGCAAAAAGAGCATAATTCACCTCTTATACATATCCAGCAGTCATCTTTCTTATCATGTCTGGCAAGCTCTTCCTCTGTCACTTCTATCAATCTTCCTTTTAAACCAGACAGATCTTTCCCACTTTTAGTTAACCGGATCCAGTCCATAAGGCTTCGGCCTGGTTTCAAAGGTACCTACAGAAAAGGAGAGAGAAATGAATATATTAACTAAGCAAGAAAAGTAGGTTGAACTTGGGCCATTCTACAAGATAAAGACCTTCACCCTTGTACATTTTATTTTACATCTGTAAAATAATGTTAACTTTCAAAAGGAAACATGATACCGGTCCTCTTTCTGAGGTCAAATTAGACATAGCAATTTACCAAGAATCACCCATTCATTCCAGCCAATTTATCATATCCAACACCAATCCCTATGCAAATTCCACAAATATCTCTGTAGGAAGCTAAAATTCTCTTTTCTCAAAATAATAATCTTTACTAGCTTAACACAATGTTCCACAGATGTTCCACAGTTTATCCACAGATACTGTAAACAGATGTAACTATAGTGGCCATGTGTAATGAATTGTTTTTAAAACAGTGGTGTAAAGATGTAAAACAATAAATAGGAGAATATTTTTGTACTTGTACAACTACTACAGATAAAATACAGATGGCTGGATACCTCAGTGGCTTAGGTATCTGGCTGGGGAACTAAAGGTTGAGAGTTCAATTCCCCACTGTCTCTCTTTGGAAAAGAGCCAACCTATGTCATTATGGGCAAGCTGCAGAGTCAAAGTGCCTCCAGGAAAAGGGAGCAGAAAACCACATCTGAGTAATCTCTATCTAGAAGAACCTGGGAAGGGCTGCCATAAGCCAGAATTGACTTACCAGCACACAATATTATACAGTGGTGCCTTGACTTATGACCGTCCCTACATATCACCATTTTGAGTTATGACCAGTTCTAGCCACAAAATTTTGCTTCAACTTGCAGCCCAGAGTTTCCAGTTACGAACACAAAAGGCAGGGGGGAAAGGCGGGAAATTCAAATTGCTACTTGTAGGTGGTGAAGAGGCTGCTTTTTTGTCGCTCTTTCGCCCCAGTAGTTAGTGATCGGAGGAGGCTGCCTGGTAAGATGCTGTTTTCTGCTTTTTAAAAACTGTTCTGGGTGGGTTTTGCAGAGTGGTTTTGGGCTGGGAGGGTATGTTTCTGTGTTGTGTTGTGTTTTTTGTTGTTGTTTTGTTGTTGTTGTTTGCAGCCCCAGCGCCTTGCGACCAGGCTTGCTGTGTGGTTTATTTTTTTGTTTGTGTTTTGCTCTTTTTTTGCCGGAATGGATTAATCATGTTCCAATGCATTTGTTCGTTTGTTTGTGTTTTGCTCTTTTTTTTGCCGGAATGGATTAATCGTGTTCCAATGCATTTCAATGGGAAATGGTGCTTTGACCATTTCGAGTTACGTCCATCTTCTGGAACGGATTATGGTCATAAGACAAGGCACCACTGTATTACAACAAATACATAAAAGTATATTACAATTTCATAGGGACGTGGTGGTGCTGCAAGTTAAACCGCAGAAGCCTCTGTGCTGCAAGGGCGGAAGACCAGCAGTCGTAAGATCGAATCCACACAACGGAGTGAGCTCCCGTCGCTTGTCCCAGCTCCTACCAACCTAGCAGTTTGAAAGCATGTAAACATGCGAGTAGATAAATAGGTTCCACCACAGTGGGAAGGTAACAGCATTCCTTGTCCAGTCACGCTGGCCATGTGACCACGGAAACTGTCTATGGACAAAACGCTGGCTCTAAGGCTTGGAGATGGGGATGAGCACCACCCCCTAGAGTCGGACATGACTGGACTAAATGTCAAGGGGAACCTTTACTTTTATATTACAATTTATATTAACTGTTGCACTGAGTTTCATTAAACTCTGCCCACACGGTACTCTCAGTTCACTCACTTGCTTAACCATGAGCCAGTGGAGAAACTGACAAGTTTCTGCACTGACTAATAAGAATCAGATGTGGTCAACAACCTCACCCACTAATGCTCTCCCACATGGGGACCTGCCCAATGATTCTAAGTGAGTTCTGCAATCAAGCAATTAAATCAGCACTTAAATTAAATATGAACATGGAAGGGTTCAAAACTAAAGTCCATATATCTTATATTCTCAGTAGACAGTTCCAAATACAGTACTATTCTCCCCTTCCCCACTACCACCACAAAGATTTAAAATAAGCCATGGATCTTAATCTGTAGATTCAGCCTCAGCCACGTGAAAGGACAAAGCACCCTGAGTCATCTGCAGATTATCTTTGACAACCCTGAATAACTACAGCCGGGCACCCTTCATCTCAGATTAAGAAGACTTCCCTTTTTGCAATGCATTAAGACTTCCAGTCTTCTTAATGCATTGCAAAAAAAGAGAGAGAGACTTCAGCCCTGCAACTTCCTTCTATGTTAGAAATCAATGTACTGATTATGCAACACCCCCCACGCCCCTAAAAAGGAGAAACAGCTAAATGTATCTCCCTTACCTACAACGCACTACATAAAAAGGTCAACACAACTGCCGTGAGTCTGCAACCGCTTCATTCACTGAACGGCCGAAACCATTCTTCCCAACGGATAAGCATGACAAGCAGAAATTCAACAGGTACAGCTTCCCCAGGCGAGGAAAAGCTCCGCTTATAATGAAGCCGTGGGGGGGGGAAGAACACAACTACTCCATCCTAGGCAACAAATGACATGTTGAACCCTCCGTCAGCTTCAGCAGCTCTTGCCGAGTCAAAAATAAAAATAAACACCCCCATATAAACAGCCTGCCGCTCCTGGCGGTCCTCGGGGGTGGGGTGGAAAGGGGTCTTCCTCCTGGGCAGGGACCCCCCCCGACCC